TTCAATAATAGAGAAACAGTTTGCTTTTCTCAACATTTTTCTCAGGTATAGCAAGTAACTTGGCGACCTAAAAGTTTACTTTCCGGCAATTGTTGAATTTGTCAAAGGGAAAGTAATTTTCGTAGACAAACAGTTTATTTAATGGGAATAGGGATAGATGGCAGGTTTGGATTTGAATCCCGCAGAGGGGTTACTGTTCACGACAAGAGAAAACACTTGGGTCCATTTTCCAGCACTTTAAATTACCTTAAAGTTAATTTTATTCCATCTTGCTTTTACACCAGTGTTGCTTGGCGCAAGTGTAAGATTCGCACATTGTACTCTTAACAGCTAATGTATTCTTTTATTGTTGTTAAATGACTCGTAAGTAGACTTGGAAGAAATTGATTACCGCTTGGCTTATGAAAGGGAGAGGGAGGGAGGGAGAGGAACGAAGACTGGACCCGATAGGGGGGCGGATATAACGCCTGGTACTTTATGTTGCAGACATAAATTGCACTTTGTGTTACTTGACCAAAATTAAGCGAGGTGTGACAAGTAATATTTTAGCCAAATAACCTGTTTTATTTAAAGGTTTAATTCCATCTTCTGCCTCCGAAGAATGGTCTCATTTGTTCAAGCTCAACGTGAGTAGCCTTGGAAACCAGGCGAATAACTTCTGAGTATTTAAGTCTTATTGGTCGTTCTCTGAATCAACGGTGATGAGTAGTAATAGCGGTTTCACGCTGTGGCGCATGTGCAAGTTATATGCATCAAGGAATCGCAGACTTTCATTTGTGGAAGCAGAATGACTGATGCCCAAATTTAACGGAATAGAAGCTCTTGACAGATTAACTGAGAAACTGTCGAATTCAGTCTTCAGCATGCAAATGGCAAAATTTCACCTCTATCGCCGATTTTTCACGACCGACTGTAACATTTCTTAATATAAAATTTCCCTCAAGAGTCAGCAGCTGATTTTCGATTTTTTCGTAAACAATATATTTAAACAGTGCATCGTCATAGCCGTGAAACAGCCCCTAAGGTAATCAGAGGTGTTGTGAAGGGAATATTTAACACGTGTAACAACAAAGTAGTTAGAACAGGGAGGGTGAGGTTAGGAATCTGGTTTAGCTGTATAAATTTGAATTTTTCTCAGCTACATGGAAGCAACTGTTTAGTTTAATAGTACAGGTTACTTTGCGTTGCGATTACCACGAGCTTCCAAAAGATGCACCCCCAACTAACCCTCGTTGAAAACTGCTTCCAAATCTCAGGTACACTTTTTCAAATGAAATGTTTTAGTTAAAGCTAAACTTAGGGCTTGCCGACTTAAACATTAGTCATTAAACCATTGCAACGCCTCGTAGTTGTCTTTTAACAGGCTAACTGTAAGATTGGTTTGAATTTTCCGTGATCCATTCACTGGTTTATACCCCAGTATGTTCATCACGTGCTTGCACTGCTGCTCAATAACAGCGATGGTTCCAGGTTTGACTTTCCAGCGCCATCTTTCAGCTCCCTCCTGGGAATCTTGTCTCCACCGTGCGGCTTTTCGTTCGCTTTCAGTTTCAGGCAAATGGGATGCTAGGTACAGCCAGTTTGACATACTCTCGTCCATTGGAAGCCCAGCAAACTTAAGCAAACTTGGCAAAGTTTTCAAAGGATTCGCTGCTAAATCTTCGTAACGCAGTAACATAAATTGCGATTTCTCTGGAGATCGCAAGGATCGGATGATTTTCAAATTGGCCTCTGTCAAACCGCAAATACTCTGGCTAAACTGCTCTGTTCCATTCAAAGCGGTTCCATCTTTGTCTCCGTAAAATCCGACAGCTTTCGAAGAAGGGATAATACCTCTCGGATCACGAACTAAGAAAAGGAGTTTACAGTCAAATTGATCCGAAGTATCGCAAATAGATAACAACTGCTTTAAATTTTGTTCAGGCATCCTCGATATTAACACTTTAGCAACCGTTATTCTGTACTTGTTCTTACACTCTTCTTCCATCGTTTGCTGATCGAGTGGAGGACAGCTGTCCAAAGTCCATCTTGGATCGGTTGCGTTGTAGCGGCAGAACGGTGGGGAAAGTAACACAAGACTCTTCATTGGGTTGTAGTTTTCTGGGTACTTTTTTCGATAATACGATTGTAAGTCATCCACGTGCGCGGCTGATACAAAATCACATTGAAAAACGCCTTGCATCCATCGAAAGGCCGTTTCCTGGTAATGTTGGTTGAAAGGTGCCTGGGCTCTGACGATTCGTTCTACTGTTTGGTAAGGTTCAAACAGATAAAACACTGATGGGTGATGGTTGAAAATATTACCAAGAAAAGTTGATCCTGACCGTCCATGCGCCACAATAATCAGGTTTAGTCGCTTCTTGTTAGCCCCTCCTGTAGTCAACGGCCGTTCGTTTTCTTCATAAAATTTTGGAGCCTTTACTTTCAGCTTTTCTCTTAACTTGAACGCATCTTGACTCTGTTGGATTATGCTGGGACGCTTATTCATCACAACATTTGAGACGAAAACCCCGATCGACAGAAAAATGGAACTCAACAATATCACACGAAATCCAAGCCAGCACAACCGCTTTCGGCCCAATCGACTCAGTAACAACATGTTTGCTAACAACGTAAATCCTACAGCTGATGGAAGAACACATGCACCACGAAACCAAAAATTCTCAAGTAATTGTGCTTTTATTCTTTACACCAACTCAGAGGGAAAAAAGAAATCTAATATACCAGATTCTTGATGGGAAGTTACGGAATCCATGCCGACATAATTTTTTTCCTGGTCAAACACTAAATGTACATATAAAAAAATACATATCAATTTAGAGACGAAGAAAAAAAACAAAGAAAAACCGTCTTGGGAAATCAAATTTTATCGGAAAACAAGTCAACTAGCGCCTAATGTTTGCAAAAACGTCAATCAAATTATTCTCAGAAGTGTGCGAAGCCTTGAGATTAACATAAATGAGGAATTCTCTTTTAGAACTAAACCACCTTATTACTTCATTGAAAGCTGTCACTGAAACAATATTAAAATGCTGAAAATGGGCCATTATGTTTACCGAGTGTTGTGTAAAAGAATCAATTACTATGGAGAATTAACACTTTGACACAATTCATACAAAGTATTCCTTTGTGATTTCAAGCCAGTAATCAAGACACGTTATTTTGCTCAAATCCCAATTCTAAATTTAGGTCTCCATCTCGAAAACATTTGAGAAGCTCGGAAGTCAGTTAACTCCAAGTGACATTGAAAGAAAAGAAAAAAAGTTTGGAAACATGTTTAGTTTGAGTGATGTCACCCCAAGCGAACAACTGAGTGTTGTTTATCTATGTCGGAAAGTAAACCCTCATTTTGGCTGAAGTCGCCGAATTTTATTTCAGCAAATCATTTGCTGAACTCCCCTTCGGAATCACTCAGCACTACTCACTTATTTTTAATTCGTTACATGCACTTTCCAACACCGAATAGCGCAGCTCTCCTTATACACGACACTCACAATCCACTAATATATGCTTTGACGAACAAAGGGCTGACACTCAAAACGGCCACTTAAATTCGCTATGGTGGTTTGCTAGATCGTGTCATTTCGGAAACGCATGTTGACCATCATTTGTTGGTTGCTAAGATACCTTAAGTGGTATTCTTTACATGCGCAGTATGACCTTCTAGTCGAAGATTTTACGTAAATCTCAAGATAACAGGTTACTGCTACGATAGAAGCTCCAGAAAGCTAATAATGAATCACAAGGAAAAAAGATGGAAAAGCTGGACAAGACTGATACGATTTCAAAGAATAGCTACAGCCGCTCACTTCCGAGGGACTAGATGTAAATCGTTACCAGACTATCAACCCGGCTTCATGCGGGTAGTAACGACACTCTGTAAGCTTTGGAAGTACAAAGAACTACAAATTGGGCATTTTATAAAAAAGTTTTAAAAGGAAGAAGTTTCAATTAGTGATTTTAACGTGATTGGCTTCTCAGAGGCCTTTATCATCGTTGAGAAATGAATTGCATCCCTGTGTCACATTTTTAATTCAAACCTATTACTTACATCATATAAGTTATTTATACTACTTACATGCAATGGGTTTAACATTGGGAATAAGTCTTTACTCATTCAGACCACTGCACAATACGGGCTCAAGACCTGACTGACAATCTAAAACAATTCCGCGATCTCAAAATAGTTGACGTCGCGGTCACACTGTACGTGTTCTAACATATTTATACTTCTTTCCTACTTGCAGCACGTGATCAAGGTGAGGGAACCAATGAAATTGCCGTATTGTCCACAGTACCTACCAAAACAACCAATAGAACTGCTTCCAAATTTAGCCGAGTTTACAAACTGCGAATGAGACGAGTAGAGATACAGAGACTTAAGGTGTCCTTCGTGGCGTTTAAAACCTTCAGGGCAGCGGCCGTTTGCCAAAATGCAGAATTTTCCTTTGGGCCATTCTGTAGAAACACAATAAAAATGTTAAAAAAGGTCGAGTTTTCGACTCCAGAACCCTCCATTTTTTGCCATGCGCGCAAAGTGAAGAGGTTTAACACACAAAGGTAGGCAAATTGACTAGGAGACAAATTGCGTGGACGCGAATCGGGTACATGTTGCAGCGACAGTTTTCCTGTAAAATTATGTGTGATATATGCACGTTTTTGCGAAGAAGTTATGTTCCGGGGGAAAAAGTTTTGTCCCCACAACATTTTGCATGAAATTTAAATGGTTGGAATCAGTGCAACTTGAAGGAGGGAAAATTAAAATGACCTCGATTTTCAAGGTCGCAACCTGTGCACTTCTCTTGCAAACTGTCCCCGCTACAACACAATTTTATGCCTCAATCTCGTTCTTGTGCACCAGCTCGCGTACAATCCCTACAACACGCGTCCAATGCGTACATGCGAAGGGGCTTGTCCCCGAAGCACATCCCCAAAATTGTGCTGACTTTAAAGGA